GCTAGTTTTTTTTATTTTATTGGCCCATGTATTTTTTAAGAATCCGTGATTTTTTTTAAATTTACCTTATTAGATCAATAACAAATGTGTCCAATTAAGAAATTTTATGCACATACATGGTATGCAAAAAAATCACTTCAACATGTGTGATTTAGAAGAAAATGTAAAAAAAATAGATATTTAAGTTATCAGGCCAAGACTCTCTCCTTTTGTGCTGACCTCAAAGTTTGAAGGCCGACGCGTAGGCCTACAATTGAGCGAAGCCAGAAAAGACTTTCTGGGCTGAATGGCATACATTTTATTTACAAGGTTTACATAATTTAAAGCCTAAAAAGATCTTTTGGGCCAAATGGCATACAACATTTTATTTTAGTTCAATTTAAAGCCAATTTTATTTTTTAAACGATAATTCAAGAAATTTTATGCACATACATTCTATGCAAAAAAAATCACTTCAACATGTGTGATTTAGAACAAAATGTCAAAAAATAGATATTTAAGTTATCAGGCCAAGACTCCCTCTTTTTGTGCAGACCTTAAGTTTGAATGCCGACGCGTAGCCCTACAATTAAGCGAAGAAAAAACTTTCTGGGCTGAATGGCATACAACATTTTATCTACAAGGTATAATGTTTAACATAATTTAAAGCCTAAAAAGATCTTTTGGCCAAATGGCATACAACATTTTATTTTAGTTTAATTTAAATCCAATTTTATTTGTTAAACGATAAATGAAACGTTCAATTATTACACACTATCTACGTGAGGTTGAGAGATATCAAAGTTTATGATTGTATAAAAGGAGCAACCAAGTATATAGCAATTTAAAATCCGAATGTTTCAAATCACAGTGAATAATGAAACACTGACTCCTCACTACTAATTACTAGTCTGATAAAAGTTATTGTCCCACACTCTTGGAATTGAGAGGCTTAAAAAATGAGAAATAAGAAAAAGAATTGTAAACAATGAATCACAGGAAGTTTTTTCAGAGGTACATATTTATGATTTTTAACATAGTTCACATATTTGAAACGAAATTTTAATATTAAATAATTTGTATGAAAAGAAATAAAGGAGATAGGTAATTTCATTGGGAGAAAGTGAGGTAAAAATCCTTTGACGGACATTAGATTTTATGGTATTATTTTGAAATAAGCTTCGTCAGTTTGTTAATTGGTTAATTTTACGTTTATTTGATTGTGGGACAAAATAATATGTGAAACTCGTAAAGAATAATGAACTCGCATTCTTGCCACGCTCGCTTCGGTCACACATCAGAATCGACCATTTCCCCACTACTTGCACAATATACTCTGTTTATTAAAGATAAAAGTTATTTCCAGTTTATTGTCTTGATCAGAAATTAAGGAGCCAGTGCAAGAACCAGGTATCTCTGAACAATGAAACTTCACAGGAGATAAGAAAAACGCTGCTATTAATAATTTAATTATGAATTATGGTTTTATCAAAATTTCACTCGGCATTGATTTTGTGAAATTTTATAGTTTTGAGATAACTGGCTCTTCCACTCACCCTTGATTGTAATTTAACTTAAAGTCCACATGAAAAAAACATATTCACTTCACTTTTAGCAATTAAAATAACTTCATCCCCGTTAAGAAGTACCTATTCTGAAATACGATACGAATTGTTAAAATGTATCATTATAATTATTATTATTGAAATTTTTTTTTATAAAAAATGTTTTTGGCCAGAAATTAACAATATTTACTTCCAATCAGATTTAAATTAAACCAAGAATAATTTTTATATTTTTTTAAGAAAAATTATTCATTCGCCAAAATATTTTATACTTTCTGTTGGTAAAAAAACAATATTGATGCAATTACATTTATATAAAACAATACCAAGACCAATTATTATTTATAAAAATGTCTGTTTTTAAATTCTAGATTCAAATAACGCTAAAATTAAAAACGCATTTTTTTAATTAGGCAAATTTGGCACCAATTATTGTAGTAATGACTAGAATTATATAAATATTATTTTTTAAATTATAAGCAATTGTACAAATTCTGAAGAAGTTAAGGAAGTAAATTCGTACAACAATCGCTGGTTTTAAAAAAATACTGCAGTCAATAAAATAAAAAAACCTAGATAAATTCGCAAAACCCGGCAAGGGTTTATGAATGTGCTTTCGTCCTATTATAGTGTTTGCTTGACCCATAGACTTTTGTTGCACTGTGATTTTATCAGGGTTGGTAATACCAAATATTTTTTTTAACTCATATTTTTAACCAAAAATAATAAATTCTTTTTTTATATGAACTTTGACATATTTTTTTTGCTAGCATGAGCTATTTCCATATGGATTATAACAGTATATTTCACAAACTTGCTACATTTATATTTCTCTCATTGTATATTTTTAGTTTAGGTTTTAAATATAAAAAAGGTTTTACATACAAGGGTGTTGTTTTTATAGACCTTTTAATTTAATAATGCTGTTCAAAAATTTGTTGTCGTTTGGAATTTTTCCTAACAGGTGTAAATTGATTGACATACAGGGTGTATATACTTTCTTATTATTGGAGCTACAAAGTCTATTAAATTAGCAAGTTGGTGGCATTATTTCTTTCGATTGAAATGGTAGAAAGAGAAAAACAATTTAACGTCAAGTTTCCGAAATATTTAGAAAAATAACATTTTTGTATAATTTTAAAGACAATTTAATATGGAACAAAAAAGTATTGCTGCCTAACTTCCCTAAAATTAAAAATAAACAATTGATAACCACTTGAACTTTCTGATTGTTGTTAAAATAAAGTAATAATTTGGTTATTTCAAAAACCATCAGAAAGTTCAAGTGCATATTAATGTTTTTTTTATGTTTAGGGTAGTTCTGCAATAATAATTTTGTGTCACTTATAAATTAAATTGTCTTTTAAAATATGTAAAAATATACAAAAAAGTGTTATTTTTGTTAATATTTTGAAAACCTTATTTAAATCAGAAGAAAAAATGCCTCCACGCACGCGCAAATTGTTATCAATAACCCAAAGGGCGAGCACAAAAAAATTAAAACGGTTTTTAAATCTTAAGCGTTCAGACTTTGCAGTACTTGAGAAAAGTTTCAAATTCCGTTTAAAGAACAGGGTAAAATTGTTTTTTAAAAAGTGATATAAAATAGCTAAAATGACAAATAGCACAATAATGAGAAGGTTATTGCTCATTGCCTTTATTTTTAAAACCCACTGCAATTTTAATCAATTAATACTCAGTTTTAATTTTCCTTCCGCCAATTTATATTAAAATTTTTTTTTTCTGAAAGCTGAGCAAATTTTTTAAAACAAAATATGTCTTTTCACGATGGGGTTATTTTTTGCTTAAATTCAATTAGCAGTAATTCAGGGCCTGAGAATAAAGAGATATAAGTACTGCTTCCCTGTTAAGCAATATCTACAATATTAAGTTATAAAGGACATTATTGTTAAAAACAATTTAAAAAAGCTTTTGCCTTACATTGCTTATTATATATTAAGCAAAATGCCATATCCACAATAATGTAGAAGGCATTTTTGCTTACAGTATACTCCTTGCAGTTGAAAGAATACGAATTTTAGTTGATGGCGCTGGTTGTCACTGAAGAAAACTATAAATTCATATACTTTTTGTGAACAGGAAAAAACGTTTAAATCTAAAATGCTTAATTGCTTTTAATAATGTTGTTTTTTTCTACATTGGTTATAGATTTATTTTAGGGAAGAGAGAGTGAAATTATTTTCAAACGTGGTAGATCTGCTGTGCCAACTAAACCCCCAAATTATTGAAGATGTCAAAGTTCAAATAAAAAACGAACTTTAGCAGTTAATGGTATACCAATTTTTTTAACATCATCCAGAATTATTTTACAATATTGGATCTTATTAAATCAGGGTATATTTAGAAAAATAATAAAATAAAAAAAACGATAATTCTTACTTGTAGCATTCCTTAGCAGCATTAGTAAAAAGGTTAAAATTATATTATACATTTTAAATACAAAATTTTAAAAATAAAGTATTAAGTTAATTTGTATTTACGGTTTATTAAAAAAAAGTTAAATTATTACAAAATAGCTAATGGTTAATATATTAAATACTAAGATCACAATGCAAATGTTAGTTATGGATATCACAGCCTAATATAATACAATCTTTATAATGTAATATATGTTTCAATTAGTTATAGGTATATTATCATAAAATAAAACAAATCATTTTCTTATTGCATTCACAATAATCAAGGTTTAGCAACTCTCATAGCTAAGCTGCTAGCCATACCAAACCATTTACTGCAATTTGAAGGGTAGCTCCTTTTTCTTTAATGGCTGCAAAAATCGAGGCACACTCTTGGTTAGAATTTACTGATTAGTAATTGTTGCAATTCTCAAACACTCTACTTACCATGCAAAATTATAAAACAAAAACGATAGCAGGCGAAATCAAAAGTGTGTACAATTTAAATAATAAACAGCACAAAATTCACAAATTATATACATGAAATTGAGCAAAAAATAAATAAACCTAAAATAAAGCTTTACATTTTTTTTGGTAGTGCAGTATGGTAAAAAATATTTAACGCAAAATATAATTGAGGCGCATTAAAAGGCAAATAAAAAACGCAATTTTAAAATAATTATAAATATGTTAGCTTTAGCAAGTCCTAATATTTGTAAAGTATATTGAAAATGTGTAATAATTGCATGAATTTGAAAAATTAAGAAATAATATTATTGTAAAGCTGAAACATAGGTTTTCACAATTACTTTAATAGATAATAGAGGTTTTAAATAATTAGTTAATTGCCAATTGTGTTTAAAGGTCATGTTCTAATGCAATAATAATTAGAATACTTAATAATGTTAAAATTATAATAAAATTACCATAATTAATAGACTCCAATAAAAAATATTTAAGTGACATATTTCATAACTTAAAGACAAACATTAGGACAAACATATTTATACAGCATGCTGTTAATAAAATAGAAACATACCTTGTTCTGTTGTGTTAAGATCTGTTCCAGAAGGTCCAATATTATTCTCCCACAATGGTGGCAATTGCTTTATATTATCTTTGGTCAATTCGTTCATCTCTGAGCTAGATTTATCTACTGCATTGTTAATGCTTTCGTTCAGTTCTGGATTAAACTCCATTTTTGGTTTAATTAAATCTTGTGCTTCTGTTGTAAAGTGGTTTACTGGCTTTTTATTTTGGTTAGCTTCTGACTTAGAACGTTTAATTGATGAGTTCGAGTTGCTTTTCGAATGCCTTTTTAAAGATGGTGTTTGATTAGGGAAAACAGTTGGGGGAGAGACTTTGGGAGGGTAATGACGAGGTAACTCAGTTTCCAACATTTGATTGAAATCGGATATTTCTTCCTCTTCTATATCACAATCTAATCTTTCATCCTTACGGGATGAAGTATCACTCTAAAAAAATATTGATATTTAGTAAAACCTCGGCATTTAAGTTAAGATGTAGTTCTGACAATTTGTGCCAAAAAATCAAAATTTAATCATAATTAGAGATCATTACTTTCAAAGTAATACTTTGTAATAATTATTATTAACATTTTTTTTTTATTTAAACTTTTTATTTTTTTAATTTTTAAAAATCAATTTATATTTATTTAAAAAAATCTATTTATATCAAACATACATAAACATATAAAATTAAAATAATAAAAAAAGTAAAGGGGTATAAGCAGATGTCTGTACAAAAAGAAAACGTTATTTGTACGATTTTGTAGGCAGGTTCTGTCAACTCCCTCTATTGAGTTTGTACTCCTTATGTGGGCTCGATAACGTTATAATTTAAAAACTTCTCATCAATGACATCATAGAGGTTTTTTTATTCGGAATTTGGGGGTTTAGTTTGCAAATTCTAGGTACCCTAAATTTATAATTGGCTGCATTGAGTAAAACAAACTATAATAATTATTATTAAGAATATGAGTTTTGTTTTGTTCCTTGAAGAGTACAAACTGCTGAATGAAAGTGTGAAAATAATTGACTTTGTGACAAAACTGGAATCTCATCACAAAAATACGCTGGTCAGTGCCAAATATACAAAATCTACAATAAATTGAATGATTTACGAATGAAATATCTGTGTAATGCATATAAGTGCACAGTGTGCATACTGCCATCTGTCATATGGTGCATGGTTGGAATGGAACTGTAAAATGGATTTTGAGCAATAAAAAAATATTTATTATCTGTGATTATATGGAAAACAAACTGAAGAAGTTTATGGATGAATTATTGTAAATGTATGTAAAGTGTGGACGAAAAAGTGATAGTGTTGGACAATTTTTTTTTTATATATGAAAATGAATCAAGAGATGAGTTTAACTCAGACTCTTCTAACTGAGACCCTTGATCATAGTAAAATTGTATTAATATTTATTTATATTGAGTTTAGCTGGCTTAATCTCGGAAGGGAAAGATCATTATACATTAGAAGAAGTGGAGAATATAATTGTGGTTATATTATATGATAATAAATTTTAAAATGTTAAAAAATTAAATAAATTTCTCCCTACAAAAAGGTTTGTACTTTTAAAAAGGAATGCAGGAATTTATATTTTATATTTATATAAAAAACAATTGAGAGTTGTGTAAATACTTAAATTTTGTCCAATAGTGAAGTCACTAAGCGCTAATACTTGTAGTTCTTTATTAAGGATTATATTACTCCAATAATATCTTTTTTCTACTCCTATTACGAAATATGACCGTTCTAATATCACTTTTTAATGTGGAATGACATATGAGGGAAAAGGATTATTATTCAAAATTTTATTTTATTCAATTACTTTTTTGAAAAACGATTCCATAAATAGGTTACACATTCTAATTAAAAATACTGTTTCCATTTGAAGGTCAAGACAATAGTTGCTACAATGAAAAAAATATTATATAGTACTAGATATTGCTTTAATTAGAAAATTTACATTTTCTCTAATAATTTGTAATAATTGAAAAATGGATAATTTTGCGTTTTTTCTCCTCATATATTCCTTGAAGTATTACAGAATGAATTATTCTATCATTGGATGACGGAAAAAACACTGGTGGCGACATCTCTATATTTAATATATAGGTATATAAATATATATATTTATATATCCAATCCAACCTCACTTCCTAACAATTAAATTATTTTTCTATGGTATTTTATTAGAAACGTAGAAAAAGTATAGTCTTAAACACATTTTAAATTGCATATTCCGCTCTCGTGAAACCGTCATACTCGCCTTTGGCTCGTGTGACAAACTCTTCACTCGAGCGGAATATGCCGTATTCCAAACTTGTTAGGGGTCCATAAAGGACGTCACGCCCTAGGAGGGGGAGGGGTCTAGCAAAACGTGAAAATTCGTGACAAGGGGGTGGGGAGGGGTTCGAGAGAATGTGACCTCCGAAATTCGTTTTTTTACTTATAAGAAGGATTTTCTATATTTATTTTCTCCAAAAATTAAATATTTTTCATACATATTTTGTGTTCAAATCAAACCAAGTAGATAGATTTATATAACAATTACAGGTAAAATAGGTAAATTTTAGAATTTTAGGGCAGCGCAGCATGTCAGAACAAGCCAATATTTTAACCAGATACTAAAATGTGATGATTCATGTTGCTGTCTGGGCCCCAGAAGCTCAATTTTCAACATTTTGTCGAAACGATTTCAAACTTCAAAAACACTGAGTTTTACACAAAGAAAAATCGAAGGATGAAAAAATAAAGTAGCAGCAAAGCGGCAACGAGAAATTATGGCGATTTTAAGATAATCTGGATTTGACTGGAATAATTCTTCCATCTGAAAAGAAAGAAGACAAAGGAGAATCCGATTTTATGCCAATTCAATCTGCTGTTAATTTGAGAAAATACATTTTTGTTCTCTTGTAGTTTTTTTATTCAGAATTTACTTGTTCAAAAATAAAAATTAATGTGACTATATTACAGTGTTCCAAATTTAGAGTAGAAGTCCAGTGGCTAATATATGAATCTTGTTTTTAGGTACCTATACTTCCTCATTTTAAAAATAAAAAAATGTAAAAAAATTGTTTAGCACAACTATCTTAAATTTGTATGATCACTCATTTATTAGTTTTTTAAATTTTTGACATGACATGGGAGGGTGGGGGTTCGCGCTGCTGTGGCCATTTGTGACAAGGGGGAGGGGGTCAAAAATTCCCTAAAAAGCGTGACGTGACGAAAAGAGAAGAAAAAGCTAATCGTCACTGACGATTAGCTTTTTCTTCTCCTGGCATTGGGAATTATTTCATCAAAATGCTGTTGTTTTTTAAATTTCTTTTTGTTTAGAATTATACACAATTATAGTTGTTATCTTTAGCATTGCTTATTATAACTCAATTAAATGTCAAAATAATTCAAAATAACCCCTGGGACAGAAGTACCAATTTTAAATATTAAAAAGTACACACAGTAAGTAGCAACATAATAAAATGTGCCAAATTCAAATAAAAAAACAAACTGTAGGTATGTTATTAGTGTGGCATTTTTGTGACCTACATACATACCTACCTATATTATATTATATGAGTACATTAGATGCACAACTCTGTATTTGCAGGATAAGTAATTTTAAGAAAAACACGAAAAACCGCTCATAAGGTCATTTTTGAAAAAAAAAATTAAAAAATTGTATAGACGTGCTTTTGCATCATCCCCAGTTTTGCATCTGTGGTAAGTTTATAAATGTATTTTATTCTACAAATATTAACTTATGCATCTGGTTTACTTAGGTATGCTGTGGGCAGTGCAGTTAAGAACATAAATAGGATAAAATATATATTTTTTAAAAATGTGCAAAAACTGAGTTTTGCATCTAATGTACTCATATGTAGGTAACAAAAATGCCACACTAATGACATATAATAATAATGTCATATAATTGTGGATACAAAATATTTAATATCCTTTTTGTGCCCCCACTACAATATTAAATATTACTTTATAATTTAATAATTAATTACCTAATTAAATAATGTTTTTGTATTTATATATTTTAATTTAACGTTTTTTTAGTACCTACTATTAAGAAATCATCCATAATAAGTTAATTTCATTTACGCTACAATTAAGTTTTTAGGAATATTAATATATATTTTGATATTATTTTAATGCCTTGTGAAAAAGAGAACAATAATGGATGTAGGAATATAAATGCCTGAGTACATATCATTAGTTTAATCTGTGCATTATGTACAAAATTGGAATTTTTTTATGTTTCTACAAAATTTAAATGCTGCTAAAGTAAGTCATTAGAATAATTTACTTACAGAATCATCACCAGTCAGTCCTTTCACTTGCAGGAGCTCTGCAGTTCTCAAAAAGGCAGACAAGTTTTCACGTAGAACACTAACTTCGCCCATATACATAAACTCCAGAATATCCTTCATGTTTTCATGCCCCACGTCGCGGAGTATCACAATAGGGTGTTTGCAAGGGTTCAGCTTAAACATTTGCTTAAAATATGGGCTACAGATCGACAAAACTATTTTATGGGCTTGCAAAACATGACCATCCACAGCCAAAGTAACGTCTACCATGTCCGCAGCCTCCAGTAATTCGTGAAAACCCGATGTTAAATTCGAGTGGAAATTGTTCCATCGCAATGAAAACTGCTCGGTTGTGGCCATTTTGCTACAAGAAACCACAAATAATTATACAAGGAAATCCGACGCCATAACTATAAATAACCTAGAAATAAAAATAAGCTTACTCACCTTATAATTACGAACCTAAGAAATATCCTTTAGCTAATTCGTGTGATTTTTTAACAATACTTGATTACATAACAAAATAAACAACAGTCTCTGTAAACACAACGCAAGAAGAACTTTAATTAACCATTTCCGGACCAATCCGGGCACTTGCACGTATCCGGGATTTCGATTGACATCCGACAAAGTCCGAACAGTGTTGACTAAATTATCTCAACACAACACTTTTTCCGCAAAATGTTTGTTTTATATATTAAAATTAGTTGGTTGAGAATAATCATCCATTGATTAGGAATATGCACACATATTTCGCATCATGCATAAATATAACATACATTTTTACAGGTATATAATATTTTAATTGACTCAAATAGTAATATCTTAGCAGGTAAATTGTAAATATGACAACGTTGTTCGCAGTTATGCAACACTTGCATAGTTGTATTCTGAGTTGTGTAGAAATAGGCGGAGAAATCGCTTTAGTTTATTAAATAAGAAATTACCTATGTCATTAATAAATCTAGAAATTTATATATTTTTTTGCAAATATATTAAATTTTTAAATTTAAATATGTAGGTAATACCTACTAGGTATATATTTTTGTTGTTAAAAATAAATATGTATATATTTTTGTTGTTGACAATAAATACAGGGTGTCACCTAATAAATTGCCATCCTTTGGGGGGATGAAAGTACACGACAAAACAAGAAAGTTTGTTCATTAGAGGGAAGTACTGTTTTTAAATAAAAAAAATTATGAAATTTTTTTGACAAAACCAGGGAGCCACTGGATGCCACTGACTTATCCTATATCATTATTGTTTTTTACCTCTAAAAACAATGACATTATTCAACCAATCAACAAAGAAACAGGTAGGCGACATTCATTAAAAACTCAGATTTATGTAATATCCCTTGCGGCCTTGAGTTTACGGTGAATTCACCGTGAATTCACCGTTTGCGTGAATTCACCGTGAATACACCGTTTATGTGCAGTGAATATACCGTCCATTTGTGACATTTGTAGACAGTAATTAAACGGTGAACTCACGCTGTTTTTGCGATAAATTCACGGTGATTTCACGGTTAATTCGCGGTGATTTCACGGTAAATTCACGGTGAACTCAAATTTGCAAAATCACCGCAAATTCACTGTCAAACAGGCCCGTAGCCAGCCGTAGGGCCCGACGGGCCCGGCCCCCCCCCCGAAATTCCGTGAACCCTAAAATTTTCCTAAATATGTAAATCATGTTTTAAAAATATGTCTATCGATAACAAGCCATATTTTTTATGACAACTTCACGCTTTACTGGTATTTATCCATCAAACATTTCCGCCCCCCCTACCACCCAAAAAATTATTACTACGTTTTGGGCCCCCCCCAAACCAAATTTCTGGCTACGGGCCTGCTGTCAAAGTACCGTAAATTTATCGTGAAATCACCGTGAATTCACCGTAAAAGCGCTGTGAGTTTACTGTGAAAACACCGTAAATTGACTGTGAAAACACCGCAAATTCACGGTAATCTCAAGGTTGCAAGTACCACGTGGTAATGTAAATAATAAATTATTTTAATTGTTTGTAAATGGTTGTTTACTTTTTACTAAATAGTAATTTTGTTGCTAATAGACGGTATTAATAATTAAATAAAAAATTAATAATAAATATTAAGATTTTTTTATTTATAAACATTATTAAATAAATAATTTGTTTATAACTAAATATTGATGAAGCGCATTTATTTTACAAAAACTAAATTCACAAGTTCAACAGTAAAATTTAAAGGGTTTATAAATTTACCTGCCTACTTAAACATTATATTGTTATTCTGGAAGTTATAAACTACCAGTACATATTTAATAAACGACGACATTGAAAAGCCAAGTCCGTAGTGGCCAATATTGGCCTTGAGTTCACGGTTTATTCACGGTGAATTCACCGTGAATTCACTGTGAATTCACCGTGAATTTACTGTGAATTCACCGTGAATTCACTGTGAATTCACCGCGAATTCACCGTGAATAAACCGTCTGTGAAAAGTGCGTGAATTCACCGTCTAACTACCGTTTACAAATGTCACAAACAGACGGTTTATTTACGGTGAATTCACGGTGAATTCACAGTGAATTCACGGTGAATTCACGGTGAATAAACCGTGAACTCAAGGCCGCAAGGGATATCAAGCAAACTTTTAAACTTATTCAAAATCGGTACCAGGGTGGAAGAATTCCACCCTGATCGGTACCCTGATAGTAAAATTTGATTCTAAGAATCTTCTAAGAAGATATGACCCGGAATAATGGAATATTCTTAGAACCTTCCCTTATTGCTAAGAATGTTCTTAGGGACTTTTAAAACATTCAATAGATACACTTTTAATGATGCAATTAGATTCTTAGAAGCTTCTTAAAACCTTCCTAAAAAGCATTCTAAGAACATTTTAAGAATACGTTTTTGGAATGTTCTTAAAAGGTTTCTTATGGAGCTTCTGGGAAGCTTTTGAGAATATTTCCAAATATGTCAGATACCCACGTTCTAATATCTTGGATTCTATATATGTATACATTCGTAAAATTCTTCAGGAGGCGACTGTCATAATATGACAGTGAAATGTATTTGTCGTCCGGACGACGGGCCCCTTAAAAAATTTAATATTAATATTTATGTATTTATTTAAAAATATTAAATAAACAATTTGACCTCTAAACAATAAGTTATATGACATTATTTCATAAAAAGTAAAATTGGAAAATTTTGTGAGATAAGTCAGATTAGATTGAAGTTGAAGATAGTTAGGATTATTATACATAAAAATGTTAATTCAGATATAAAAAATTGGTATACAAATTAATAACAAATTATTTTTAACAAAAAATAAAATATAAAAAAACAAAATATTTCCTTATAAAATAATTCTTCATAAAAGAAAAAACCAAATAGTTCTTCATAAAAAAACATTTTTCATTGTATTTAAGTTGGATAGAAGATTTTATATAAAAGCCGGATAATTTAGATATCTATAGTAAAAGTATTTTTGTTATCGAATATTGTTTTAATTTGACAAATAACTATAAAAAAATATTTTGGGTTGTGTTTTTTACTTAGTATTTAATACTAAGTATAGGTACCTTTATACGTAGATTATGGTATATTTTACTATTATATAGGTACCTAACTGAACTGAATATGCTTAACAGAATGTTCCAGGAATATTCCTAAATGAACTTTGTATAGCAATTACTTTCTCAACATTCTAAGCATATGTTTAGAGTGGATTAATTTTTACCACTAAACTTTGCACCTTCTAAGAACCTGCCTATAGGCCAGTGAGAATATTCTTAGGATTATGCTATATTTCTTTTAAGCATGTTCTTTAGAAGAAATATAGCATGATCCTAAGAACATATTCTCACTGGAAGGTTTAAAAAACATTCTTAGAACATGACTAGAAGAAATATAGCATGATCCTAAGAATATTCTCACTGGAAGGTTTAAAAAACATTCTTAGAACATGACTAGAAGAAATATAGCATGATCCTAAGAATATTCCCACTGGAAGGTTTAAAAAACATTCTTACAATAAACTGTGCCATCAGGGTAGGTACTTTGTTATCATTGATTACTGACAGTTCGGTTATTATGATTTTTTGGAACACTTAAAAAATAGCTACATGAGAATCAGTTTGGTTTTGTTGGGGCTAGTGTCCGGATCGCTCAAAGATCAATAGATGACTTTAAAGTATGTAAAATAGATGACTTTAATTCTTTTGTACAAATCACAAAATATCTCGCTAAAAGGTCAAAGCTTCTGAATCACAAGCTTTGACCTTTTAGCGAGATATTTTGTGATTTGTACAAAATAATTTAAGTCATCTATTTTACATACTTTAAAGTTGTGATATATCGGTATATTTCTATAAATTTCGACCTAGTAGGGACAAAATTGGATTCCGAGTATAGAAATATACCTGTATTTTTAGACAATATCACAAGCTTTGACCTTTTAGCGAGATATTTTGTGATTTGTACACAAGAATTAGTGGATGTTCCAAGATTGAAAAATTCACGTGTCTATGGGTGGATAGCTTCGTGAAGCGCATGGACGTTAAAACTTAAACAAAATGGTACATTGAAACCGAGACCATTAAGGCTTTTGGCCTTCTTTATCTCTGTTGGCCACCAAGGAAGAAGAACATGAGCATCAATCGAGGTAAAAATTGAAAGGTGAAATTAAAATCGACGGAAAACCACGGAAACCTCAGATACCTAACAATAAAAAGTAAGTATTGTTTTATTCAAAGTGCCTACCAAAAAATAGCTGAGTATTCAAAATAAAAAACAATTATCAACAAATTTGTTATCATTGATTACTTAAGTAATCAATGATAACACAAGTGTGCACACAGTACTGTGCAGGCACATTTTGTGTGAGTTGTCGTAGGTCAGGAACAACCAATGGCGGCCCAAAATTTCTACTTTACTTATAAAAATTTTAATGATTTTTTTATTAAAAAAATAGCACTAATGCAAAAATGATACAGGAGAAACTTTCTTATTCCCAGATAACACAGGATCTACCTGGGATATACCGCTAATGTGCCACAAATGTCCCAATGTTTCGGACTTGGAAGGGATGTTCGTAAGATGTTTCTCTTTGTACATCTGTGGGATATCCCATAAAAGTTACTTGGGATGTTGTAGAAACATCCCTTATTAAAAAAAAATAAGTATGCTTTAAGCATAACAATTATTAATAATAATTATTATGACGCTTTTAACAATAAAGTAGGTATACTTTATAAAGCCTAGTGTAATTTTCCAACGACAATAAATTTTTTGTTTATTGTGTCAAAATGAACAATGTTTAATTTATTTTATTCCTTATAAAGCTACAGCTGAGTTTTAAATCTTATTAAGTACCAATATAAGTATACTAACTAGTTAGCCTAACTGTTAGGATACTTATACTAACTAGTTAGCCTAACTGTTAGGATACTCAGTCGACGATATCGTCCATATGGTTCGTAATTTCAAAGTTTTAAAAATCCCGCGATTGAAACGGAAAGGGATGTGCGATGAGGTTTGATAAATGGCAAAATGGCGGCGTAAAACAGTGTCTGCTAAAGTGTTTGTGTTTGCTTTTTATTCTTTGACCGCTTTTTTATACTGCTATTAGTTCATTT